AACAGCAAAGGCAGGTGAGCCTGGGATTGTTGAGCCTGTAGGTCCACACGTGTCTGCAGCATCTGTTTGCTGCTCAAAAAGACCCATTATGTCCTGGTGCATCTCCCTTTCCAACTCCTGGGCCTCCCTACTGTCTGCAATATTCATTCTCCAGGCCTTATGGTCACCATCTGATGTAACACTAGGTTGCAGGATCTTGGTGAAAATGTCATCCAGAATCTTCTCCCCCTGACCCCCTCCATTTCTGATATGGGTCAGGCACTTCACTGGTGTGGAGGGCAAACCCCTCAAGGCCACAACTGCAGCAGCTACAGATAAAACACAGAGGTACCACTATCAGTATAGTCGCAATGGAAAGCTAAAGTTACGATTCAGAACTCCCTTCTCTGGCTCCCTTATTGACACTCTTGCCTTAGTTCTGAGTGCATATGCAGGGTGCTACTTGCAGCTTCAGCCATGTTGAGTATGGCCTGCCAGGGGTGAGGGAATTGCTAGGTTGCATGGAACTGAGTTTAGGGCAATGGCACTGGATACTGACACCATTCTCCACAGGCAGTGGTGATTTTTAGCTGATATCACACTTCTGACTGGACTGTGGTGGAGTCTCAAAACAGCTTCTGGCTTGCAGCATAGCTGGACCCCAACCAGTCGCATGTCCCCTATCCTCCACCACCATTATCATCACCTCATCTTCACTGCTCTTGTCAGGGACCTGTGACTTGGGCTCCTTGGTAGCGTGGTGGTGGAGATCTCTGTTAAGTGTGGCATGCACCTCTTTTTGTAAAAGTGGCAGGTCTGCGATTCATCACTGGATTGACTGTTGGGCTCCCTGGTCTTGTGACATGCCTGCTGCAGTTCATTTGTTTTTATGCAGCACTGCTGCTGATCCCTGTGGTACTTCTTGTGCATCCCCCGTGCAATTTTGTAGTTGTCCACATTTCTATGGCTGTTCCATTGCTATGCCTGTACAGTCTCTTCTCCCCACAGGTCCAGGAGCTCCAATATCTCCTGTGTACTCTATGCCAGAGTGCGTCTGGAGTGCATAGCCGGGATGGTCAGCGGGGCAGTTGCACACTACAATGGAGAGCTGCTACGTGGACACTCTGAAAAAGACATTTCAAAAATTCACAGGGTTTTAAAAGGCAGGGGTGGGGGTTCTGGTCTCTCTGACCCCAGGGCAGAGGACTTCACAATTGTGACCAGAGCAGTCAATGTTGGGTATTGTGGGAAAGCTGCTGGAGAACTGCTAGGGTCAATATAGGTAATGTAGTGTCTATATTTGCGCTGCATTGACCTCAGTGTGTCGACCATGGCTCAGCACCACTCAGGGAGCTGGTATTACTACGTGGGTGCAATGGAGAGCTGTCATCACGGGGAGACAAATTGAAGCATAGGCCTGGTCTACCCTACCAAGTAGGTCGACAGAAAGTTGCTTCCACTGATGTAAGTCGCCTACTACACTGATTTAGTAACTCCACCTCTGCGAGAGGCTTACTGCTTAAGTCAGTGTAATTAGGTCGATGCATTGTCAGTTTAGACATTGTGTTGCTTACATCACTATTGCTGCCTTTTAGAAGCTGTCCCACAATGCCCTGACACTGACCGTTAAATCAGTGCAAGCACCCTGGTTAGTATGCGCACCACCAACACAAGGAGTGTAGTGTGGATAGGGGAGGTGGAAATAAATCCAAGACCACCATGTACAAAAAAAATATGATTAGTGAAATAATCACAATCTTTCCATTATTTGAGGAAAAAAGATATATTGGTTTCTGTTGTCAGATGCTACTGGTGTGGTTCTTCTGCTTTCTCCTGTTGATATCACTCGGCTATGTGTGTGTGTTCCCTCTATGTGCTGCCCCAGCTCTGCACAGATAGCTGACACAGTAAACCCGACGAGAACTCCCAATAACCACAGAGTCTAGTAAGGTACAAAGGCACCTCGGCCAGGTTTATTGCGATCTCGGACACAATTGCAGTTCCCTGCAGATTACTTAGTCTACGGGGCATACTACGAGAAAGTGCCTCTTGGCAAGGACCCGGCTCAGTGGCGGGACTTTCCACTGCCCCCGTGGCCGGACAAAGACACCACCCCAGGGATCCATTTTTATACACGGGTACAAACAAGTTACACATCACTCCTGACGTATTAAGGTGCAACCCCTTCATGTAGTAAGGTGCCGCCTCGCACCTTGTACATGTTGGTTCGATCAAAACAACTCTATCCATCATTTTACCCTTTAGCCCCTGTCATTGGGATGGGTCGGCCTGTTCCATGTTATCTGTGGAATGTTCCAGTATAGTGTTTGTTCTGATATCTGGTGTCCAGTACCTTTTAGGTATGTCTCTTTTTGCAGCATCAGCCCTTTCCTTGCCAGCTTCTGTGAGCAGGGCCTGCCTCTGGCTCACAGCTTAACTTTGCTTTATGTTAGCAAAGTCTTGACCATTACTTTAGTTCAGGCCTTAGGCCTCATACCAGGCCTCTGATACCAAGGTTTATCTCTCAGGGCCTCCTCTTACTAGTTTCCTTTTAGGGGGCCAATTCTACAGTCTTTATCCCTCAGAAAGATCTTTGGGATTAGACTCTTGGGTTCAGATCCTGTACATGAGCTCTATGTGTGTGGATCCTTGCATCCTCGTGGAGTGTGTTGCAGGATCAGGGCCATAGTTTGAACAGGATAGAACAGTTTTACTCTTTTGGACTATAGGCTTCATGCTCTGCATATTGCTAAAATATTCAAAAAATGAATTGCAAAGACAAAAAAAAATGAAGGTTTCTTAGCTGACTGCTTCATGCCACTGAGATATTTAATTAAAAATTAAATTTAAAATATTCAGCTCGTTTCCACCCCATTTTATGGATTATATTTTGGAGATTTAACAATGCGAGTGTGTTAACAAAATGTGTGACTAGAAATTACTAATAAAATAGTGTCTAGAGTAGTTCCAATGGAATATGTATATAAAAAAGCTTGCTTGCCATATTTTCTTAATACCATTTTCTTCAAATACAAAGGGAGTCTTTTGAAGCAACAAGATAATATTGACTAAGTCAAAGAGTCTTATTGTAGAGTAGATTAAATAAATGTTTGTGAGTCTTAAGAAACAAACAACAAAAATATTTCTCTTTCCAGAAACATTCCATCCTATTTTGATCATCAACAATAAAGCTGAAAACCACAATGACGCTATTGTGCCTGGAATGCCAAGTGTAATCCAAGAAAAATGATGAGGCTAAATAATAAAAATGTCTTCTTTAGAGAAATGTTACATTTTTTCCCCAGTATTAAAATTCTGAAAATGTTCTAAAGTTAAAGGTAATTTTTTAATTAAAATCCTAACTGTGAGAACAAGTTTCCTGACCAAATAATTGATATATAAGTAACTTTCTATTAAAACTTTGTTTTAATAAAAAATTAAATGCTGCAGTGTAACACCGCAAGGTGGCTGCTGAATTGTTTCCCAAAAACTCCAAATAGGTTTATTAAGTGTGACATAGTAGAGAGTATCATGTGCTAGGTAAAATCAAGATTGAATCCCAAAGGTATGTTCTTAAACTGCATAATCAGATCCCCATTTCAATACCATGTTTATACTTCAAAGAATAGGTGCTTATTTCAGTGATGATTTGTCATTAAAATTATGTCAAAATGTCTTAAAATGTTGTTGAAACTATAAAAACACTCACAACACACACAGGGCTAATTATGGGTGCCATCTGTTTATTTTTATAAAGCAATTTTTTTTTAAAGACCAGTGCATCTTCTTGCTCTGATAAACCACAAGATTATTATAATGATTAACTGTTTTCCTTCAATTAGTGTACTTGAAGTAAGGAAGACAACTAGTTTGTTCATTGACCTTTTCCTGTGTCATAAAATGTATATAATATGACATCTCATTGTGAAGTGCATTTTCTTAAGATATTTGACCCCTAGAACAAAAACATTTTATAATAAAAATGGCAGTTCTGTCATATTTTTTACTAGGGGACGTTCTAATGTTCTCATTGTGTGTATCACATGCTAATATAGTATGTGTCTTTGTTTGTGTCTACATAGTAGGACCATAACCCATCTTCTTTGGGTGCTTTCATTTCACAACTTTTCCACAATCGTTAGAGATTGCTGTAAGTTAATAAACATTTTCAGTTTACAACCACATAAAAAACCACGTGTGTGTGCGTGCGCGTAAGTTTGCACACGCACCCAGTCCGACCCAGCTTTAGTGTGAATGATGGGTATTCCCATGACAGCATCATCCAAAGCCGTTAGCAGCAATTTGCTGAGAGAGCAGAGTGACTCGACTGGTCCAGCCCAGCTATTGTGCCTGCTAAGCACTACACAGATAAGTCTGGAGGGAAAAAAACTGAAGGATCCATCTGCTCATTTCTGCTACACTGCGCTGATGTAAGATTACGCTAATCTGGTTGCTTGTCAGGACAGGTTAGTGAAAGCAGGCGAATGGGTGAGATTTAGGGTAGACTAGCTCTATGGAAAATCGTAAGCTGCTCCTGTACATGCCATGTTAAGTGTAGCAGAATGGGTTGATTATCAGCTACTTTGAGGATTTCAGTTAAAATACATTACATTGCTAGATTAAAAATGAGTCCTCCTCCTTTATACTTCCAAACAAACAAGAAACTAACACATCTGCACCAAATACCATTATGTTGTAAAAAATAAAACATACTTCCATATTTTTTTGTAGTTTTGCTTTTACTCCTTGTGCTTAGTTATTGTATTTACAAATTGCTTATTTATTTTATTTAGGTTTTTTTCAAAAGAAGATGGTTACTGTTGTGTGTATGGGATTCTTATTTGTTTTTTCTTTTGGTTTTGCTTGTCTCTTCAGTTTGGTTTGGTGAAGAAAGCCCAGAGTTGGAAATTAACCCTTTTCCCATTTTTGGCTGGTGATATCTTTGTTTATCTGTATTTGTTTATGATGGGGTTTTTTGGTTGTTTTTGTTACCTACTGACTGTCAGTTCTTGACCTTGCAGGTTGAACATCCCATCACAGAATGCATTACTGGCCTGGACCTAGTCCAAGAAATGATCCGTGTTGCTAAGGGTTACCCTCTCAGGCACAAACAAGCTGATATTCCCATCAACGGCTGGGCGGTTGAATGTCGAGTTTATGCTGAGGTAAAATAAGTGGTAAGGGGTGGGAGGCTGTATGTGGAGCAGTAATACCCAGGTGTAGATAGGCACCAAGGTGAAGTCAAGGTTTATAATTTGAGATTTGTGATTTACTGTATGTAACACAACTGATTAAAGAAAGTTTTATGTGGATTTTTATGTTGTAATTCAAAAGAATAGCCTGAGACCAAAATTTATTGCCACATAGGTTCTTCTAAAAATGTATCTCCTGCAAGTAGCCAATAATCATTTCAAAGGAAGTTCACGGCATATTTTCAGCCTAAATTTAATATGATGATTGGGCTCTATTTCATTTTCTTCTGAACTATTAACCAGTACTTCAGGTTGGCTCACCTCCACGTTTTTCTTAAACCTTTTGGCTTAAATATTTGGCTAAAATTTTGTAAGCTGCCAAACTTTTAATGGTACTGAGGCATTTGTTAATAGTTCAGGAAGGATGTTTGCTCCTCTGTAGCTACATTTGCTTTATATGGCCAATTTGGAAAGTGAATTTCAAAACCATAAGTGCACAGTTACATTATGACTCTTCATAGTAACAGAGCAAAAAAAAAAAAAATCCTGAATTAAAAAAATTCTCTTTTTAAGCACGACTGAGACTGGTATTGTAAGTTAATGTGTTATTAGCATTGTTTTTGATATTTGGAAATTTAGACTTGTCTATTGAATGAATGATATTCAGCGGTCTTCATTTTGTTTCAAGAATGTTAATACTCTAGGCAATCTTTACCAAAAAAAAAAAAATCAGCATCTTGGTATGTTTTTTCCCATTTGACTATTGCTGCTTTTATTGCCCAAGACATCTTAATTTCTCTTGTTCCCCTTTCTTTATTTTTCATGATACAGTAGTTTGTTGCTTGTTCTGCTCATTACAGGATGTATATGACTGTTTGGATGAAGAATAAATGTATTTGTGATTTGAATGATACAAAGTGTGCATTGAGTATTAGTATGGCTTTACTAAGGTGGTTGGTATTCAGAATTTTTGCTCAACCATCTATGAATATTAAAGGAGTTTGAACAACAGAATCCTGTTTCACCGTGTGTATGTTGTTCTGTTCACCACAGAATTTGCTGTACTGATAAGTTTGTAAGTAGTTTTATGTGCGAGATTTTTAAAGGCACAAAGGACCCAATTCACATGGAAAGTCAAAGGGAGTTCAGCTCCTAACTACCAATTTTGCCTTTGAAAAACTTCTTTTATGTCATCCCTCCCTTCCCCCCCTGCCCAAAAATACCAAAGCTTGAAGATGGCTGAGGAGTTGATACTATAAAGACTTCACTGGGAAGAAATACTCTTTTCTGCTTTAATAATTGCATTTCAGAAAGATGAGGTTTTAATAAATGTTCCAATTCTTCAGTGGAAAAAGGGAAAATGGCCCAACAATAAGTAATTCCGGAAAC